TTAGAGTAACTAACGAGACTTAACCACCTTAATTTTTTCTAACTTTGACCACTTCTTCCCCATCAAACCATACAAAACCTATTTTTCATTGTTTAGAAACAACCATAACAATTCACAAGTAATATTTTTAAAAAATAATATTGTAATTATGAATTTTAAAATATTTGATTTCGGATTTGAATTAGATTATATAAAATTTGTAAATATTTTTATGCATAAATTTTGTATATTGTAAGGCTTTATGCATAATTTTTTATAAAATGATGCATAACATGATTATTCATGAAAAAAAAATTATATAAATCGAAACTTTATTTTTGTTTCACTTCTAGCCTATATAACTTTAGGAACGGCTCTCTGTACATAGCGGAAGACGTTGCGTTAAATCACGTTGCGTTAAATCACATGTTATCCTCAAGTATTCAAAGATTAAAAAAATAATGGCAATTAGTTCATTAATATACATGCATATAGTGCACGTACACATATGTTCCCTAGATAGTTACACATTACATTAAATTGGACGGTACAAAAATACAATTTAGATGTATTTATGAGTATTTACTATTAATGAGTATTTACTGATAATGTGTGATAACTTTTTCTTCTTTTGTAAACAAATATTTATTAACTACCAATGGACCGCTGGTGATACAACAAAAAACGTAAAACATATCATTAGCTTACATATCTTTATCTAGAAACACAACAACTCAAAACAACCTGATATGAAAAGGAAATTAATTTAATTTCAGGTACATTCTAAACTAAACAATGTGTGATACTAATTATTTTTATAAAAGATTTGAATTAAATTAAATACAAATCTAAGACCATCTCTATCACGAAGATACTCTCTGAAGTATCTCAAAAATATAATATTACTAGGGTATGACGCGTGGGTATAAAATTAATATAATGACATATAAAACAATTAAAAAATATTTATCAAAGTTTGACCTTGATTATTTTTGTAATTACTGTACATTTTTTTATTTTTATTATATTAGCTTATAAATATTGATAGCAAAGAACTATTTATTTGCAATGTACGTATTAACCTATCTAATATGGGTTGATTTTTGGAAACTCGAACAATATTCATTTGGATATTCTTAATATTTTTATTGCATCTTCTCGTGGTTCTTTTCTCCAGTTTCTTAATCGGCCGAATATGAAATTAAGGAACATGACCATTTAAAATTGTTTGCCCAAATAAAAGACCATTTAAAATTGATTGTATTTAATAAAGTTTTCAGGGTTTTTTCTTATTTTTTGTTTGTGTTCCATACAACTATTTTCCATTTCATATATTTATAGGAATTAAATTTTCAGGATTTTTTCTTAATAACTCTTGTCATTCAAAAATTAGTCRGACTAATGATTCGTTGAAAAATCACAATGCAAAAAAATTCATAAAAACTTTCCCTTAATTTTATCCAAAAATAAAACTTTCCCTTAATATATTTTATTAATAATA